GGGGAAGGGGCCAGAGCTCAGATCTGCAGAGCAGCAGCAGTGTGTGGGTGGGGGGAGGGGAGGCAGGGGTTTCCTGCTGCTTTGAAACATGCTTGGTCCACTGAGTGGCATGGTGGGGACTCCCTGCCACTTTAAATCTCACTCAGGTCTACAGAGAGGAGGAGTAGAGCTCCCTATTGCTTTTAGAAAAGTGGCAGCAGCAGCAATGAGAGCCCCTGAGCAGTGAGGAATCTTGGGGCTCCCTGCTGCTTTAAAATCATAGCAATGATTTAAAAAGTCTGACCCTTCCTGGTCCAGCTCTGCATGGTGCCCATGTGATGAATGGCGAGGGGTGTTCCCCTCGTTGTATGAGAACAAGAATAAAATCTCTCTCGCTTTTTCTTTTCTCTGCCCCCTAGCCATTAGTGTCCATGGGAGAATGGGGGAATAAGGGATTGAACCATAGATTTTTTTTGGTGGTTTTCATTCCTCACTCTGTTTTCCTTTCCCCAGATGTCCTCTCTCAGGTGCAGCTGGTCCAATCTGACCTGGGTGCGGTGAACCCTGGAGACACACTCAACCTGACCTGTGCTGTCTCGGGTTATGCCATTGCTAGTGTTTACTGTTGGTACTGCTTCTGTCTCCTCCCCGCAAAGGCCTGAGCCGATGAGGGATGTAAGTCCATATAACAGAGGGAGTATAAACTCTGCTCCATCTCTCCAGGGCTGAGTTACCATCTCTGTGGACACCACCAAGAACCAGTTCTCCCTGAAGCTCTGCTCGCTGACAGCTGCTGGCACTGCCACCCTCTTACAGCACCAGAGGATGCACAGTGACACAGGCCAAAGCATGTACTGGCACAAAAAAGGGAAGCAATTTCTAAGCAACCAAGTCAGACCACAGAAGCAGGGAGAACTGACCCTCAGGCTATGTCTACACTATAGGATTTTTGCACAAAACCAGCCATTTTTGTGCAAAAACCCACAGAGCTTCCACATCTCAAATGCGTTTTTGTGCTAGAAAATCTATAGTCAATCGACAGAACAGGTATACCTCCTGCTAAGAGGCATAACTCCTTTTTGCACAACAGTTCTTGTGCAAAAAGGTGTGTGTGGATGCTCAACAGGGGTTTCTTGTGCAAAAAGAGCCTATCAGAAAAAGCACAGGTGCTCTGATGGCCATTCACAGAATGGCCATCAGAGCTTTCTTGTGCAATAGCGTTCATGCAGTTTGGACACTCTCTTGTATAAAAGCACATTGCTTTTGCGGTGTGCTTTTGAGGTGTGGACGTGCTTTTGTGCAAGACGTTTTTGCAGAAGAGCTCTTCCGCAAAAAGCTTCTTGCACAAAAACCCTGTAGTGTAGACAAATCCTCTGAGATGAAAACACACACAGTCAATTGAATGTGAACAACCTACATAAGAAAAGATACACTTTAAAAATGCCTCCAGCAGCCACCCAGTTTCTCTGAACACCATTTACCTTTCTGCAGCTACAAGAATCTTTGCAAAGTTACTGAGAATTGTGTCATTTGTTACCTAAAATTTATTATAGAAACAGCTAGAGAAAGATCCATCACAAGAAAGATACACGAAAATCAGTCAAGATTTCTGTGTCTGTTTCCAGGTGTCTGTGAGTATGTGAGACAGAGGGGAGGCTGTGAGGGGAAGACAGTGAGGGGAAGCTGGTCTGAGCTCAGACCAGGAACCTGCTCTTGCTGTCTGCGGAAAAGGGGCCAGTGTACACGTAGCCATACTGTCCTGGGTCTCACACATACATGTACACTCACAATATGTACATTAGCCTGTCTCTGTGTCACACACATTTCCCAGCATATTTGTATTATTGTTATTACTACTTGGTACTTCCTACAATGCACAGGTATTCTCTATAATTTTATCTTTTCAACGTGTGCTTTTTTAGTGTTTTGACCTGTCTATGCATTTCATAATTTTTATTTCTCTTACACTTGATTTTAATTATCTGAATAGTGAGTTCTAAAATGCCTAACTTGCTCTGGCTAGAGTAATTAACCCTATAGTAACTTTTTAAAAATATATATTGTAGTTAGAAATTTTTGTTTCTACTGATGGTGAACATCTGCATATACTTTGCACATAACACAGTGTACTGCTCATGTAGATGAAAAGAGGGAACATGCCAACAGTGCAGGGGCAGCACCGCCCAAATGTCAGGCATACTAGTCATACTCAGTCCAGTGTGTATTCTGCACCAGAGCCCAGAATTGCTGTCAGTTGGCCTGGTGACCACAGACAAAGTCATAGCCACTTGTTTATTCACAGGGGTCCTCCAGCCACAGTCTGTATTGCCCTAACATTGTCTTTCTCCTCTGCTTTGCAGCCATCGTAGGGTTAGTAAAAACAAAACAAAACACCTGGTAACACTAACTAAGATAGTCTGGGTGATTTAGACTTGCAGACCAAACAGTACTTGTAAAGCTAATAATTAGATGCTACCTTTGAGTGAAATGGTACCTGTATTTCCAGCCTTAGGAGACCCAAGGGCTATGGTCCAGATTCAGTCTCTGCCTGCCTGCTCCATTTCCAAGAGGATACATCTAATGGTGGGTGGATACAAAATGTTGGCATTTAAAACACATGACTATTTTTTCATTCTGAATTGAGATTGGCTACGTATGATAATTGGGATTGAGATGGGGAGAAATTTGTTGTGGGTAGTTTAATGTATTATGCAGTTGCCTCACCTTAATATGAACCTTATGCTTCACTTCTTTCTCTCTCTCAAAGATTTCTGAACAGCTAGAATTCAACCTTAAGGTACAATAGTGGAAAGCAGCAAATTACTGTAATTCAGTGACTACATTATTTCAGTAATTAGTTTTACTAGTCCCAATTGAATATTTATGAGCCTTCCGTAAAAGATGGTAGAACTTAATAGGGAGCAAGCAATGCAAATAGAGACCATATAGTCTGACCCTTCCTGGTCCAGCTCTGCATGGTGCCCATGTGATGAATGGCGAGGGGTGTTCCCCTCGTTGTATGAGAACAAGAATAAAATCTCTCTCGCTTTTTCTTTTCTCTGCCCCCTAGCCATTAGTGTCCATGGGAGAATGGGGGAATAAGGGATTGAACCATAGATTTTTTTTGGTGGTTTTCATTCCTCACTCTGTTTTCCTTTCCCCAGATGTCCTCTCTCAGGTGCAGCTGGTCCAATCTGACCTGGGTGCGGTGAACCCTGGAGACACACTCAACCTGACCTGTGCTGTCTCGGGTTATGCCATTGCTAGTGTTTACTGTTGGTACTGCTTCTGTCTCCTCCCCGCAAAGGCCTGAGCCGATGAGGGATGTAAGTCCATATAACAGAGGGAGTATAAACTCTGCTCCATCTCTCCAGGGCTGAGTTACCATCTCTGTGGACACCACCAAGAACCAGTTCTCCCTGAAGCTCTGCTCGCTGACAGCTGCTGGCACTGCCACCCTCTTACAGCACCAGAGGATGCACAGTGACACAGGCCAAAGCATGTACTGGCACAAAAAAGGGAAGCAATTTCTAAGCAACCAAGTCAGACCACAGAAGCAGGGAGAACTGACCCTCAGGCTATGTCTACACTATAGGATTTTTGCACAAAACCAGCCATTTTTGTGCAAAAACCCACAGAGCTTCCACATCTCAAATGCGTTTTTGTGCTAGAAAATCTATAGTCAATCGACAGAACAGGTATACCTCCTGCTAAGAGGCATAACTCCTTTTTGCACAACAGTTCTTGTACAAAAAGGTGTGTGTGGATGCTCAACAGGGGTTTCTTGTGCAAAAAGAGCCTATCAGAAAAAGCACAGGTGCTCTGATGGCCATTCACAGAATGGCCATCAGAGCTTTCTTGTGCAATAGCGTTCATGCAGTTTGGACACTCTCTTGTATAAAAGCACATTGCTTTTGCGGTGTGCTTTTGAGGTGTGGACGTGCTTTTGTGCAAGACGTTTTTGCAGAAGAGCTCTTCCGCAAAAAGCTTCTTGCACAAAAACCCTGTAGTGTAGACAAATCCTCTGAGATGAAAACACACACAGTCAATTGAATGTGAACAACCTACATAAGAAAAGATACACTTTAAAAATGCCTCCAGCAGCCACCCAGTTTCTCTGAACACCATTTACCTTTCTGCAGCTACAAGAATCTTTGCAAAGTTACTGAGAATTGTGTCATTTGTTACCTTAACTTTATTATAGAAACAGCTAGAGAAAGATCCATCACAAGAAAGATACACGAAAATCAGTCAAGATTTCTGTGTCTGTTTCCAGGTGTCTGTGAGTATGTGAGACAGAGGGGAGGCTGTGAGGGGAAGACAGTGAGGGGAAGCTGGTCTGAGCTCAGACCAGGAACCTGCTCTTGCTGTCTGAGGACAATGAGAAGTCCTATGGCACCTTATAGATTAACAGATTTATTGGAGCATAAGCTTTTGTGGGCAAGGACCTACTTTGTCTGAAGACAAACTCTCTTCTGGAGTTCTACAGTTCATCTGTATCACATTCTCTTACACTTGATTTTAATTATCTGAATAGTGAGTTCTAAAATGCCTAACTTGCTCTGGCTAGAGTAATTAACCCTATAGTAACTTTTTAAAAATATATATTGTAGTTAGAAATTTTTGTTTCTACTGATGGTGAACATCTGCATATACTTTGCACATAACACAGTGTACTGCTCATGTAGATGAAAAGAGGGAACATGCCAACAGTGCAGGGGCAGCACCGCCCAAATGTCAGGCATACTAGTCATACTCAGTCCAGTGTGTATTCTGCACCAGAGCCCAGAATTGCTGTCAGTGGGCCTGGTGACCACAGACAAAGTCATAGCCACTTGTTTATTCACAGGGGTCCTCCAGCCACAGTCTGTATTGCCCTAACGTTGTCTTTCTCCTCTGCTTTGCAGCCATCGTAGGGTTAGTAAAAACAAAACAAAACACCTGGTAACACTAACTAAGATAGTCTGGGTGATTTAGACTTGCAGACCAAACAGTACTTGTAAAGCAAATAATTAGATGCTACCTTTGAGTGAAATGGTACCTGTATTTCCAGCCTTAGGAGACCCAAGGGCTATGGTCCAGATTCAGTCTCTGCCTGCCTGCTCCATTTCCAAGAGGATACATCTAATGGTGGGTGGATACAAAATGTTGGCATTTAAAACACATGACTATTTTTTCATTCTGAATTGAGATTGGCTACGTATGATAATTGGGATTGAGATGGGGAGAAATTTGTTGTGGGTAGTTTAATGTATTATGCAGTTGCCTCACCTTAATATGAACCTTATGCTTCACTTCTTTCTCTCTCTCAAAGATTTCTGAACAGCTAGAATTCAACCTTAAGGTACAATAGTGGAAAGCAGCAAATTACTGTAATTCAGTGACTACATTATTTCAGTAATTAGTTTTACTAGTCCCAATTGAATATTTATGAGCCTTCCGTAAAAGATGGTAGAACTTAATAGGGAGCAAGCAATGCAAATAGAGACCATATAGTCTGTTTCAGAAAAAATGCCTTTTTATCTAAAATAAAATGTAATTCTTTACTGCATTTCTATTGTGAAGATAATCTTTCCGATATAAATCACTGTAACACCATTCTCTTAAGGCATACTAGCGGACTCCACAATGTATGCAGATGATCAGATATGGTGTGACTTACTTTGCCCAAACTTATAGAAGTTCACATTCCGTGACCACATAATTGCTTCAGGTTTTTTTCAAGGCAGTAGCATTTTATAATAAATCCAACACACAAGAATAGTAATCTGCCTTTCATCTGAATTATAACCTGCGGTCTGAGTGAATCTCTCAAATTATTACATAGATCCAATTGATTAAAAATGGCATCCTGCCCTGAAGTAGAAGCTGAGCTTGTATTACTTTATTTAATACAAGTGAAGGAGCAAATTCTACTTGCTTTACCCAAGCAAGCATTACCTTTGGCCAGAATTGTCAGAAAAGCATGAGGGGAAGAGTGCCTCAGTTTTAGACTCCCTCCCCAACTTGACACCTTAAAAGACCTAGGGTACGTCTAGACTACATGCCTCTGACGACAGAGGCATGTAGATTAGACTACCCGGCATAGGAAAATGAAGCGGCGATTTAAATAATCGTCACTTCATTTAAATGTAAATGGCTGCCGTGCTGAGACGATCAGCTCTTTGTCAGCTCAACGTGCTAGTCTGGACGCTCCGCAGTCGACATCAAAGGCATTTGTCGACCTCCCAGGTATGCCTCATACCAGGAGTTTTCAGAAAGTGCTGAGCTAGCAACCTTTGTCAGACACTGTTAGTGTTTCACGTTGGGCACCTTGAAATTGAGGCCCCTCAGATTACTAGTCGCATACACAAATATTGTCTATAAATGATGACTTTAGAGGGACTGCTTGTTTAAATAAAATGAACAAGAATTGACCCAGATCAGACACTAAGGGAAACAACTTTCTTTGAAGATCTGGAGAAACAACCTGCTGGAAACAGTTTCTGAGAAAACACGTGCTCTTGAACTGAGTTATAGCTCAAACAAGATCTGATCTTGATTTTCCTGAATCCCAGAGAATGCATATGCTCTCTACGTAGTATCTGTCTAACTAGCCAGATCATTAATGAAGCGCTATATGTGATACCACACAAAAAGGCTAACCAATTCCATAAGCAAGGCTTATACATATGTGAAAAATCTGCTCTTTAGAACCTGTTCTAGGTCCCCTGAAGAGTCTTGGCTTTAAGTGGGTGTTTGATTAAACCATCATTCTTGGACACACTTTGTATTTAAATGGAAGTGTTACATATGTAAATTATACCTGGGAAATACTCTGTAGTAAAGTTGTAAACTGAAGGAACAACTCAGTAGCCACATGTACACCAGAGAAGGGGAGAGAAGAAGAGCTAGTGTAGAGCTTGAGCTTAGGACTTTATTTTATTTGTATTAATCTTTTGATTTAGCAGACAATCATGCAGGTTTATCATGCTACTATGGAACAAATGAAGGATGGAATTGAGAACTCAGTCTCCTTTATTTTTGTGGACATGTGGGATGTTTCCCAATGCAATTGATACTGTAATATGAAGCTCTGGGGATCAACATGTCTGTCTAATTATTTTTCTTTGACAATATGGAATGTGATGTTTTTATTTAATACAGTGGTTAACCTATCGATCACAGTGTGTTATCTGGGCCACAGGCTGAGAACCACTGCCCCCAAACCTGACCCCTATGCCCAATGCCTTCCATCCAGAGACCCCTCCACAAAGTTATGCCAGGAGCGCAGCCCTGGGCAGGAGGATCCCAGATCCCTGGGGGCTGGCCAGTAGGGACACCTGGACCCTGTGGTGGCCCAATAGCTGGGCTGCAGTTGTGTGCTAATTGGGCTATATGCAGCCTGTGGGTTGAGAACTGCTGATTTAAAACATTGCATAAGTAAAATGACATTCATGGTGGTCATTGGTTTCCCTGCTGTGGTGATGAACTTGTGCCCACTATGCAATTCTGCTGCATATTTAATCAACATAACCTCCTGCAGCCCCACATCAAGGTTTTAAGGTGAAGTCTGGCACATTGATTTTGATGGAAGATGGAGCCACTGGCTGTATTTAGGGCAACTGATATCTGAATGGCAAGTGAAGAGAGAAGTATTTATAATTGTGTCTAATCTGCTCTTTTAGGAAGTATGGAGAGCTTGTTTTTCCATTCCCTTTTTTCATGCTTGATTTTATATTACAAAGGGCAAATTAAATATTGTTCTCTTTCTCTGGATGTTCTGTGGAGGATCTGGAAGCTTAAATGTCTCTCACACAGAAAAAGGCTGTGCCCTTCCTCTTTCTATTCACATAAATGATCCTTCTGAAGTCTAAAACCTGGTTCTCTTCTCACTTTACATCAGTTTCACCCTGGTTTAATTTCATTGACTTCAGTTGAGTTATTCCTGATTTACACTAGGACCTGATTCCCCTTTCACACTAAAGTCCCTGCTACAAAGTATGTCTCTAGTCAGGAAATAATCTAAGCACATACAGGCAGTCCCCGGGTTACGTACAAGATAGGGACTGTAGGTTTGTTCTTAAGTTGAATTTGTATGTAAGTCGGAACTGGTACATATTGTAGGGGAAACTCTAGCCAAACATTTCTCCAGAGCTCAGTTTTATTCTCCCACACCTCACTTCCCTCAGTCCTTTATTCTCAAGCTGACGTGTCTGTTGAGAAAAGACGCGGAGCGTCTCCCTGGTCAGCTGGAGGGGGGCGCTAGCTTCGCGTCTCCCTGGTCTGCTGGGGGGAAGCAGCTAGTGCAGGGTTGCCTCTCCCCGTTTGTAAGTAGGGATCTGATGTAAGTCGGATCCATGTAACCCGGGGACTGCCTGTACTTAATTTGAGGAATAGGCTTAAGCCCAACAATTTGATGTAAACACATGTCTTAAAGATAAGCAATCATGTACTTAAGTGCTTTGCTGAAAAGGAATGAATGCAAGCATAAGCATGAATGCTTTTTTTGAACTGGGTTTTAATGTTTAATTCCTTGAATATTGGTACTTGAATTTTTATGTGACACGTGTAGTTAAAATGGAAATCTGTATTTTAAAGCATGTATTTGAATCCTTGGCGTGAGGTGAGATACAACTGACTGGATCTGCAAAATGTATATCAATGCCTTTAAAAGAATTCTTACATTTTGTTTGCAATGCTACTTCATTTTTTCACTGCATAGTATTTAACTTTTACAACACACATCTGCATGCCACCTAGTGCCCAGATCAAGAATTGCACTTTATAATTTAAAGTATGAAGAATGGCTATATTGCATACTCAGTTAAATTGCTACAATTCTTGCTCCCATCTTTTTTATGGCAGCTAATTAAACATTGTGATTTAACTAATTTGTTATGAAAAATGCATTAATCTTTTTAATAATAGCGTACGTTGAAATCCTCTGATTAAAACACAGCAGTTACACATTATCGTATATTTTTATTTTTTGTTCATAGTAAAGTAGCTGATTACAATTTATGAGATATCATAAAAACATTATAACCTCATCTCATACTTTCCTAAAATGTATCAGTTTATGGTTGTAAATATTTCCTCAGGTACCTCTGGTATGAGTACTAGAATAAAGGATTGGATGGTCATAAAGGTAATATTTAGCCATGCCTGCCTTTGAATATGCTATCATTTTCCCTCCAAAATGATAGTTTCTACTTGTGAGTTTGGCAAAATAAACAGTGTAGTCATTTCTGTAGTAAAAACAGTTGCAGAAGGAGAGTTGGTTCTTAAGAATTGTAAGAATACCTTTCTAATTAAAAGTTCATTTCAAGACAGACAATTGCTTTATTTTTCTGGAAAGCATTGTTTTATTTTGCTGGTGAAAATTCTTATCACAGGTCTTTTGATACTATTGTATGCTGGCCATTTCACTCTAATGTCTTGCTTTTGGCTAGCCGTACCTCTCCAAATGTCCATTTTATGGCTGTTTTCCTGGTTGTATCCTGCTAAGTTGGTACAAGGGGAATAGGATGATGGGTCTGATCTGTCATTTCAGACAGGTGCTCTGCTCTCCAATTTATGCTTTGAAATTTCAAGAAAGATAACACACCTGGCTCCACATGGGACTTCTAATATAACTGAGGAAAGGAGCAACTTGAGTCACAGCAATGATGAACAAACAGAATATATTACTTGGATAGGCACTTACACTATACTGCTTCTACAAAGATGCATTTCACTGTTTACTAGTGTAATTTCAGATTCTAAAAATTATGGTTCTTTCACTCAATGGCCTACATTTTTGTCCATTTTGGAGCTGGAGATGTCAATGTCAGTGACAATTCAGGAAGAGAGCTGATAATTTTGAACCTTGAGAACATCTCTACCTCCATGCTTTACTTGAAGCTTAATTGTGAAACTGTACCATATATGAAGTGGCTATAGGGGTCATTGATATCATGCTTGCTTCCATTGGCGCATTGGATAATGACAAGAATAATGTAATTTTGCTCTTTTACTATGACACTTCGCTTTATGCCATACTTCCACTAGTTACTATCTGCATCCTATCCAACCTGGCTGTGGGTTGCAAAGTTGTGTGCATGTTCAGTGAGGCAACTGTGCAGCTGTCCATTGCAGTGTGCACACCCCCAGCCGTCCACCCACTCCACACCTTTATATATAGGGTGTGTCTAGACTACAGGGTTTTTTTGTTTCTTTTTTCGAAAAAAGTGGCCTTTTTTTCGAAAAAACATTCCCCTGCATCTGGACTGCTGCAAAGTAAATCAAAAGAATGTGGCAGTTTGTTCGACCACAAAAAACCTCGTTTTACGAGAAAAAATGCTTTTTTTTTTAAAGTGCTCTTTCAAAAAAAGGCGCTATGTAATGCAAACTGTGCTTTTCCGAAACAGACCATCCAGACTGCCTGGGTGCTCTCTTTTTTAAAAAGCGGCTCGCTTTTTCGAAAGTACTGGTTGTAGTCTGGATGCTCTTTTTCGAAAGAGACTTGCAGTCTAGACGTAGCCACAGTGTTTTGCTGTGAACTGCACCCTGTGTAACTTGAAGCCTCACTTCATCTCTCTTGTTCAATCCAGCATGTAGCATTATTTGCATTCTGACATAATTTCTGCCATCCTGTACTGGATTTTCTTACTAGGGCTGATAGAAAGATATTCTATGTGTTCATGCATTCTCTTTCATCAGTCCCCATCATCTTTTTTGCCACTTTCTTATTTGCAGCCATCAACTTGTATTGACTTCTTCCAAAACTCATGATTGTATGCCTTGTGCATTCTCTTTCATCAGTCCCCATCATCTTTTTTGCCACTTTCTTATTTGCAGCCATCAACTTGTATTGACTTCTTCCAAAACTCATGATGGTATGCCTTGCTGCATGCAAATTGGTCTCTCTAAGGTAGGAGTGGGGAACCTTTTTTGGGTCGGGAGGGACTGACCCACAGAAAAATCAGTCGGGGACACACATAAATGAGAAGCAAAGTGAGAAGCCCCTGACTGAGAAGGAGAAAGACACTCCCCACATTTCCCTTGCACACCAGAGTCCAGGGAGGCCCAGGCAGGTAGGTTTTGTGTGCTCCAGCCCTGTGGATGGGTGGCAGTGAGGCTGAAGCATCAGCGAGGGTTCCCAATGCTGAGCCTCAGAGGCTGGATCCGCATCTTGCCCCCAGACCTGAGGTTTCCCACCCATGCTCTAAGATCTGTTGCTATCCACATTTTTTTGCATCCCACTTGGTTGTCTTCTGTTCACAATCATTGAAAGGGCCATCCTACTTATATAGCTCTCAGCTCCTTGTTGGCCACAGCCATACCAATATATCTTAGCCTCTCTCAGCCTGTCTTCAATTGGGGCAACCAACAAATGAACCCTCACAATATCATTTTTTTTCCTATCATGGGGTGTCCAACTATCTGACCATCTCAACATCTTCATATGTCCGTGGTAGTGAACATTAGGATTTCCTTTCCTGTGGCTGGCCAAACCTTTATGTGCATTAGGATGGGCCAAATTACAGTTTTGTACACTCTATCTTTTAATTGCATTGATTTTTTTTATCACAGAAAACTGGGATCACCTTCCACTATTTGCACAAAGTAGCTTTGGTATAATGCCAGGCATCACTCAAGGGGGCAGCATCATTAGCAACCCTTTATCCTAGGTATTTACATTCTTTCACTCTTCTAAGGTTTTTGCCTGCGATATCCTTTATGGTAAATCCTCCTCCCCTCAGTTATCAAAGCCTCAGTCTTGGTTTTTGCCTGCGATATCCTTTATGGTGAATCCTCCCCCCTCAGTTATCAAAGCGTCAGTCGAACTAATGTTCATTACCAAAGTCCTGCCTGCTCAAAACTGTGTTAGCACTATTCAAAGTCATTTTTCCATATATAACTAAATCATCAGTGAACCACATATGCCAACGTGTCTGCCTTTGTATATTCTCACTTGTCACATTGTTGCATAAATAGCAAGGTTTGTCCCCTGGAGGCCAGTCTAATTTGCCCACAGAAGAGAGTCACACTTTCAGGCTGGGTCCAACTCCATTTTATTGTTTGCAAGCAATGGTCAGCCAAGGAGCTATTGCTCAAAGCAAAGTTGACCCTGGGCGTTGGCTAAGCATCCTTTTTTATACTTTCTTTAACTTTCTTATCCAACTTGGCACGTCTTGATTTGTTACCTTAGCTTCGTGTTGCCGCGTTATTGGTTAGCATATTTCAACTCTATTCCATTCAGTAACAACCACCAGTATAGCTTACTTAAGCAATAGCAATTAGCAAATTCCCCTAACTCAAGTAATACGTGTACTCCAGTCCTTGAGAAATGGGTCTAAACAGCTAGTTCCTCTACAGCTTCTAAAACATGCGCAATCGGCTAAATGATACGCACTGTTTCAAGCTTAAGTAATGGAAAGGGGAAGAAGCACACATAGTTTTACTATATTTTACTACAACATCCCAGGTGATCACAAATAATAAAAAAGGTTCAATGCTAACGCCAAGTGCAGGTCAACATTTGCTGGAAATTCTCTGCTGTAGCTCCATTTAGTTTTGACTATGGTGGTTACTGCATTATACCTACCTGGATAAGACTGCAGTTACACTAGGGAAGAATGTGGCCCTTTATGTGATTGTTCTGCATACACCTGAGTAGAAAATCTGTCAGAATGCGTTGAAGTTAACCCTTGGAGTTCCCATTTACATATTTTTACTGCCTAGTCTCATGAGTGCATCTATCATGCAAGGCAAAAGTTTCATTATGACTAAAGTGTCTAAATTGTTAGTTTACCCTTAAAAAGTCTCATTAGGAATTTCATTCTACAGGAACTGAGTAGCTTGCTTTTAAAAAACTATCTGTTCCAAAGGACTAGAAAGTTGATATGATAATTAGTCAAAGACAGTAAAAGTTCATAATTTGGTAATTATGTGCTTCAAAAATCTATTTCCTGAATAAAATCTGTCAAAGAGTATCTCTGTTTGGCACATCATCTATAAATGTATATATAGTACTAAAGATGACACCAGATGCTTCAAAAAATAACAGAGTTTGACATTTGACTAAGCCCAAAGATAGTGATGACAGAGAAGAGCAATGTCTGTTCTAAATAAGGTCTTCTGTTTCCTGAAGCAGCGAAGGAATAACAGATAAGAGCTGTATACTCCCTATTGTGAATTCTAGGAAAGGAAAGGAAACAGAGCCTCATTCCTGTTTTTAGAAGCAAACCACCACATAAAACACCAGAATTAAATATGCATTATTAAACATCATTACTGTTGCTGTTGAGGAAATGGTGGAAAAGAGCTACTTGAAGAGGATGAAATGGGGTCACAGAGCATTGTAACAGCCGTCTTCCCTATGGCACAAAGGCTGGCATACATACTGCTAGATGTTATTTGTTGCAATTCGTATGTTTCAAGGCTGTTCTTCCACCTCTACATGAAAGGTCTCCACAGTGCTCTTTCCTCAAAGGAAGATTATAAGTGGTAGCTTCAGCAAAATTCCGCTCCATTCACCCAGTCCTGGACAACTATCTTATACAACAACAACAGGAAATCAGTTCTTAGAAGGCTGTGTTACAGCATTCTAGGCACCCAGAGGAGGAGGTTTTTCAGGGGCGATAGGCTGCTGTGCAGCTAAAATTGGAGTGATTGGAAATAAAGGGCAAGAAAAAAAGTACCATATTTCCTCTCTCACATACACATAAGTGATGAGATTCTGCCACCCTCTCACACATTTTAGTAGCATCTTATTCAGCAGTCCCATTGCAATCTGGCCCAAAGTGGTTGGAAAACAAATAAAAGCAATGCAAGACTAAAACACCCCTTCTCCACACATTGCTCCATCCCCCTTCAAAATGGGAGGTGGGGAGAGCTCTCTTTTCAGTCTTCAAGTGGCCCTTTGCACAGTGAGTGTGACTCTTGGCCATCTTGACACTATCGAGTAAAATACTCTGTGAAGACAGTTCAAGAGCTCTGTGTTGATTCCCCCACTGAAAATGAAAAGAGCAGCCTTGTTACGTGCCTTCATGTTCCCGATCAATACAATTTGCTTCTCTGGAGAAAAAGCAAAGGAGCCAGATGCAGAGAGGAATTCCCAGGAGCTGATTGCAGAGCCACACGTGGAACAGGCTGTGAGTGCCAGATGTGACAGCTGAGCACAGGGCTGCATGGGACATAAGGGGCAGAAGTAACAGATGGGGCAGGAGAGCCAGTGAGGCAGGTGCTAATGAGGGACACTCACTGAGCCAAGCTGGGAAACCCGCAAGCTCCTTTTTGTGTGAGTAGAGGTTGGACAGTGGAGGCTACACCAGTCACTAGGTCTGAGGAGCCCTGACTCCCCACTGGACAGGGACCTAGACAAGATCTGCTACTGCTCTATTTCCACTGGCACCAGGGGCATGAACAGGAATTTAAATGTGACCACTTTAGGAGGGGCACATTAAACACATTCACCTTATACACATGAAACCCTATCAACACCTGCACAAACATCTTACGCCTAGAAACAAACAGCAGCACACTCACTAGTTTAATGAAAATCCATGCACTGGGGAGCCACCTGTATAAATGCATCCCGAGTACAATGCCATGGTGGGATCACAGAGTTCCTCGAGCCCTGGGGGGCGGTCTGTGGAGAGAGCAAGCGCCATCAGCCCTGAGGCTGCAGTGAGAAGTTAGCGGGGTAAGCTCTTCCAGCTCCTGGGCTGGAGGAGCTCTGTGCTCCTGCCAATTATTTGTGGGTAGGGGGTGTCATTACTTGCTTCCCCTTATGCATATCCCTGACAGGAACTGTTTAAACCTTTTGCTGGGATATCTGCAACCTTTCCCTTTCCTGACAGCCTCTAATAAAACATCACTTCACTGAGCCATGTGTCTCAGTGGTTAGTGGGACCAACAAGGGCTACCACCTGTAGCTACTGAGGCATCTACAGTATTTACCTCTGAGTTGCAGTAGAGCAGGCATGCTACTATCTACAGTATTTACCTCTGAGTTGCAGTAGACCAGGCATGCTACTGTCTCCTTGGGTACGTCTACACTACAGCGCTAATTCGAACTAACTTAGTTCGAATTAGTTAATTCAAACTAAGCTAATTCGAACTAACGCATCCAGACTAAAAAACTAGTTCGAATTAGCGTTTTGCTAATTCAAACTAGCATGTCCACATTAAGTGGACCCTGAACCGGGGTTAAGGATGGCCGGAAGCAGTGCCGGCAGGGCATCAGATGAGAACTTAGAGCGTGGAGCTGCTGTCTGAGGGCTGTGCTTAAAGGGAACCGACCCCCACCCCGGACAGACAGTTCTCAGGGGTGCCCCGCTTGCAAAGCAGTCCTGGCTTGGATTGCCCTGAGTGCCCATACTGGGCACATCACAGAACTCGGCCATCAGCCCGGCTGCACTTGCTGCAGGCTGCCGTCTGGGGAGAGGGGGCAATTGGGGGGCTGCAGGAGAGCTTC